TTAATGCGATCTAGAGCTTTCTCCTTCAAATGAGAATATCCTCTTCTGTCCCCAAGGTCATCCAGCATCTTCGTACGTCTTCTTCCTCGTCTTCTGGTCACTTCTATCCGCCCCTCTATCTTTCCTTCAATAACTTCTTTTAGAAGGCAGTTTCTGCGTAAAACATGACCAATCCAATTAGCCTTCCGTTTTCTTATTTTGTGTAGGATATTCCTCTGCTCACTGACTCTAAATAACACTTGTACCCCCCCAGCGAATTAAAAAAAAAACATGTCTACCTACATATTAATTTCTTGATTTCAAGAATGAGGCCCATCGCTGTGTACTTGTGTCTGTTCTTCGCTTTCTTCATTCTCTTATAAACTAAACTGCTCAATTCAGCAGCTAACCACGTATAGAAACACAAATAACTCTGTCAAGTGAGTCATAACTCCGAGTCACCAAGTCTTCGCGCATCCTTGCTCTATTAATAAAAATGAACAGGTGATAGCTTTTTGTTTATAACTACCTGTATTAAAACATATTTTCCATTGCTCAGTATCGGAAGATGACGCATGCATTCAATCGTTCAGTCACCTCTAGAAACAAACACCCAACTGAACATATGGCAAAAAATTAATTTGTACACGTAATAGACACGGATAATAATTCATAAGTTTCATTTCTCTACGATTCAAGGTTCAGAGTGGTCGTGTTCCTACGCCTATGCCCACATCTAATTACTGCCCATCCTTGGCCGAATATTTCAATTAGATGAGTGGTTATGGGCTGAAACCCTATCTCTCTAGGCCTGTCTGCGACAACATGAAAGTAAGTGCTATAACAGCTCCTCTTCAGTAACAGTTCTAGCATCACTACTTATGTGAGTACTTCAAGCACTCCACCTTTATCCCCTTCTATGTCTGGGACGTCATAACTCAGGAAGGTTTCGTCATCTTTGATGGATATATGACGACGAAGAATCTTCTTCTGGGATGTGGCGCCGTGTAGATCTTGTGCGAACGGACGTTTAGGAGGGACGTATTGCCTCCATCTGCAGCCAGCTGCTCACGCTGGTTCATCGTTCGAGGTTTTTCTACCTT